TTTCCAAAGAGATTCTTTCCATGCTTTTTAGTACTTGGATCATAGTAGCTTGTAGTTCACTAGTTCCCTTCCCTTCCGATCTTTCAGATGAAGTTGGGCTTTCTAGGACCACTTGTCCTGATGGGGAAGAAGGATCTCCTGATTGATCTGCCATTCGTAGGAGAAAAGGGTGAGAGAAACCCTCTGTCTGGCAAGATCACAAAGTGTATTATCCCACCGGGCATGCCAAAACTATGTTCGCGTCAGAAATTTCCGTCGGGGACGTTTCCTGGCCGACGAGCGCACAGCTCCCCAGGAGGTTGGCGTCGGTTGAGGGCTGCTGTCGGGCTTCTACTTTTCTTTCGGGCTTCGTCAGGCAAGTCTTGTCGGGCAAGGCTCGTCGGGCAAGGCTGAAAGAGAAGGACAGAGTTAACTTTGAGAGGTGCCTTTGTGGGGCCTTAGGTGTAGGCCTTAAGGCTCACAATCAAGGTTAACTTTTAAGTACTCAGGCGTGCCACTGCCATCTTCAGCATGGCAGATGTGAAATGGATGTCGAGTTTTAGTTGTATATATGTATATACCCGAGAAACCGTGTTAGTTATGATAAGTGCCTTTATGGGGCCTTAGGTGTAGGCCTTGAGGCTTCCTATCAATAACTAAACCAGTGCTCGAACACATCATATTTATGCTTGTGAGTGCAGGAGTCTTATAACTATTATACTTCTGATTACCCGAGTTCGAGAGGTAGAATGAACCCAAATAGGTGCCTTTGTAGGGCCTTAGATGTAGGCTTTGAGGCTTCCCATTAGAGTTCGTTCTTATACTCAAACGTTCTAGACCGCAAAACGGAATGAATCCAAATAGGTGCCTTCGTGGGGCCTTAGGTGTAGGCCTTGAGGCTTCCCATCAGAATCCATTCCATGCTTACGCGTTCTATGATAATCATAATATAATAGACATAAGACTAAGAGGTAGGTCGATTACTTGCGCCCCAAGTAACTTCGGACTTCTCGTTTATCAAGGATTGTCGTGGATGGGTTAAGTCCACATAAGGTTCTTTTTTTATGCCTTGAGGCCAAGGACTTTTAACTGATCAAATTTACATGCCCGAGGGCTTAGAACTTAGATCTGGTTTTGAACAATGAATATATATTCAAAATCGGATCCGAGTACTGAGAAAAGCCTTTTAATAGTCATCTTGCTAGAAATAACTTGAATATAACTGGAAGTATACAACATATTGCTAGGCTAATGAATGAAAAAACAAAAACACAAAGAAGGTCGGGCAAGGTTTAACCTTGTCGGGCAAGCCTGGTCGTCTTGCAGGTTCCTATCTTTGTGGCTTATTAAGGGTCTGAGAGCTTTTTAGGGAGAGGTAAGGAGAAGAGTTTTAAAGAGAAATCGATACTACAGCAAGGTTGAATAGGGTAGCAGAGCTATTACAAGGGTTTGAGTGAAGGCTTGTCCCGAGAGGGATGAAGGCTTGGGCTGACTACAGCTTCGTTCTGAAGGCAAATCTGGCTTTGAGCAGAGTTTGTGCTTGCATTTGTTTGTTTGTTTGAGTGTCTTTAATCCTGATTTCTCTTTCTTCTTTTATAGACAACTCAGCTTGGCCTCTTGTAGCAGCAGCCTTGCCCGAATGCAACTTGAGAGGCAGTGATTCATCAGCTATATTACTTGTTCTGCCATTATAAAGTACTTTATGGGCTGTATAGCTGGTCAGTCTATACCACTTGGCTTTTGGGTAGGTGAGCAAGTGGTCTTCATGAGCTGCACCAAGTCAGAAAAGCCCATTTTTCTGCTTTCTGGGCTTTTGGCTGGGCTTAGGCCGACTCTCCCTTAGGCATCCCTTTGGGCCAGCCCCTTTCCTGAGCCCAAAATTCAAGTTTTGATCCAAACATGATGTATGTAAGTCATTCTCTAAATTTGTCATCTCAACCTTGTTGTTCACTCATATTGTAACAAGTCAATTATTAGCCTCACGTGATGGTGTTGTTATCAATCACATTCAAAAACGTAAAAACACAAAATGTCTGGTCTCTCAAAGAAACGTGTTACCAAATTGTGTGTTAGTCATATTATATTTAGGTCATCATCTCCATATTCATATCATATTAACGGTATCGTTCACATGTATTATAATAAGTGGCATGGATTGAGACGAGTCACTCTTAAAAGTGAAATGCTAGGTAAACAATATTTTTGTGAAAAAAATGAATTCAATCATCAAATGCCATCATATGATCTACAAAATATACTCTAAAAAGATACTATCTCTAGCATAACTTTTTAGGGAAATTGTAGAAACTGTAACATCCCACATTACCCAGGGGAGTAATCCTTAAATGTATATTCCCATCCCTACCTAGCATGAGGCCTTTTGGGAGCTCACTGGCTTTGGGTTCCGTAGGAACTCCGAAGTTAAGCGAGAAGGAGGTCAGAGCACTCTCAGGATGGGTGACCCACTGGGAAGTTGCTCGTGAGTTCCCAAAAACAAAACCGTAAGGGCGTGGTTGGGGCCCAAAGCAGACAATATCGTGCTACGGTGATGGAGCGGGCCTGGGAAGTGATCCGCCCCGGGCGGGGATGTGACAGAAACGGTCCATCAACTTTAATCTAATTGAAGTAATGATCCCTAAACTAATATTCCATGACTATTGGTCTCTTAATTCATCAACACGTGCAGCTATAGTTCTTTTCGTCAACTCCGTCAGAATTCCGTCAAATGAGTCATGTTTGAAGGATCGTTGCTATAATTAGGTTAAAGTTGATGGAGTATTTCTCTAATTGGGTTAAAGTTGAGTGACCACTGCTAAAAAAAAATCATTTGGTTTTCCATATTTGCCCCTTGACTCAACCTCGTGCATGGCATGTGACTTATTTTGAAGGAAGTTTTAAAAGAGTTGGAGAAAAGGACTATAACTACATGTTTTAATGAGTTAATGGATCAATGATCATGAAATTTTAGTTAGGAGACTATTACTCCAATTGAGTTAAAATTGAAGGACTGTTGCTACAATTTTCTCCAACTATTTCTTATAAACTTGCTTGCAGAGCACACAAGGGGGCTCCAGATTTGCTATCCCCAAAAGTGTGTCTCGTTTGTGTCACCTTGCTAATATGTTGACACATGTCCTTTAACTTAACTTAAAACTAACTCTTAACTTTATTTATTTAACATTTAAATTAAAAAAATCCCAAATAATAAAAAAAACTGTTGGGTTAACGAGGTGAGCAAACTCAAATCTGGAGCCCAACCCAGCCCAGCACTCGCTCCTCCCTCCAAAACCCCATAATCGGCCGTTATTCATATTCTTCGTCCGCCATTAAAACCCATATTCCGAAACGCCGCCAAGAGCCACGGCGGTGACGCCCCACAAGTATACTTTATCCTGACCCAATTACCCAATTCGCAGAATCTGCAAGTATGTTTGAAAATTCATGCCTTTTTTTTTCTTTCTGGAATACGAAATGCAAGTTTGATTGTGTAATTAGCTTGAATTGTATGTTGCAGGAGACCCAGAAGTTCAGGGCTGAGCATTCCAGGAGGCTGTTGAAGGAGAAAGAGACTTTTGGGTTTGACCTCCATGGTGTGATAGGCGTCTGTGCCGGGTTTGCTCACCTCGTTAACCCAACAGTTTTTTTTATTATTTGGGATTTTTTTAATTTAAATGTTAAATAAATAAAGTTACTTGTGTTAGTTTTAGGTTAAGTTAAACGATATGTGTCAACATATTAGCAAGAAAACACAAAACACACTTTTGGGTGCGTTTGGTACGCAGACGGAACGGGACGGGACGGGACGGGACGGGACGGAACGAAACGGAGGTTCGTGTTATGTTTGGTACGCGTAGGACGGAACGGTTTGGATTTCGTGTTAAATGACTAACTTAGCCTTGTTTGTACAATTGTTGAGTGCGAGTATGAACTCAAACAATCAGACCCCAGTTTTCGTTTTCCTTCGTTTTCTCGGCAACCAATCCAGTTTCAGATCTCGTCACCAGCAAACCCTCCAATCAATTTCAGATCTCGTCACCAGCAAACAATTACAAGAAGAAAAAAAACAGAAAAATCCCAAAATCAAACACAGAAAAATCCCAAAATTCATTTCAATCAATTTCTGCAGCTTCGTCATCGTCCTCCCTGCAGCGTCGTCATCGTCTTCTCTGCAGCATCGTCATCATCCTCCGTGCAGCGTCGTCATCGTCTTCCCTGCAGCGTCGTCATCATCCTCCGTGCAGCGTCGTCGTCGTCGTCGTCGGCCTGGCTATGGTGACGGCGCCGGAGAAGAAGAGGGGTTGCTGGTGACGGCTCCATGGTGACGGCGCCGGAGAAGAAGAGGGTTTGCTGGTGACGGTGGTGACGACGCCGGAGAAGAAGAGGGGTTTGCTGGTGACGGTGGTGACGTCGTCGTCGTCGGATGGGTTTGCTGGGATTGGGTTACTGGGTTTGTGGTGGATGAAGAGGGAGGTTACGGGAAAGAAGGGATTGGGTTACTGGGTTTGTGGTAGAACAGAGGGAGGTTACGGGAGAGAAGGGAGGTAGACAATGTAATTAATGAAAAATAAAAGGGGTATTGTTGTCCAAAAAAAAAAAAAATTTGTGTCCCACGGGATGGAAAAACCTGTTCCAGGGGGGGGAGGGGGAACCAAAATTTGACCCTTTTTCGTTCCGTGGGACGGAAGGTTCCGTCTCTGTTCCGTCCCATCCCACGTACCAAACGCACCCTTTGGGAACAGCAAATCTGGAGCCCACAAAGGGCAGCCTTTAACCTTAGGAAAAAACCTGTGATTTTTACAAGGATCAAGACGCCGTTTCGTTTCGAATTTTTACCGCGAGAGTCCAAATAAAACTGTGATTCTTAAAGTTTTACATACATCGTCTTCTTCCTTCTCTCAAATTTGCCGCCACTTTCTCTCATAAAGGTACCTCCTTTTCTCATCACACAACTCTCTTCCGCTTTGTAAATTGCTAAAAGCCTTTTCCTTTTTCTCAACTTTTTTTCAGGCGTGTTCTCTCTCTCCTCCCTGCGGTGTTGAGCGCGCCATTGCAGAGAAGCCATGAAACCCTCCGCTGCAGAAAAAGCCTTGCACTCTGCCAAACTTCACATAGAAGAAATTAGAACCAAAAAGTTCTCCATCGGAAAAACAAGGATAAACCCCTTAACTCTCGACCTCCACCACGCCGTCACTAGCCTCTCTGCTGAGCTCTACCAGAAAGACATCCACTTTCTAATGGAGCTCATACAGGTATATTGCTTAGTTTCTCGGAAAAAAAAAGTGAAAAAGTTTCGATCTTTACGATACTAGCATCGATGAAACTTGACAACAAATTGTGGGTTTCTTATTTTGTGGATTTTAATTTGTGGGTTTGTCTTTTGGTGGATTTTTATTTGTGGGTTTTCGATTTTCAGAATGCGGAAGATAATGAATACAAAAAAGGGATTGAACCGACGCTGGAATTTGTCCTGACAAAGAAGGACATAACTGGCAGTGGAGCTCCGGCTACTCTGCTTGTTTTTAACAATGAGGTCGGATTTTCCCGGAGCAACATTGATTCCATATGCAGTGTAGGCCGTTCTACTAAGAAGGGGAAAAGACATCTCGGGTTTATTGGAGAAAAAGGTAAATTTATGAGCAAACTAAATGTGGAGATTCTTGATGATGAGATTATAGGGTAGTGTAGTGATTTTCGCACTTCCTGTGTTCTCTTTCTACGCTCCTCCCTTGTTTCCGTCCTTGATTCTCGTTTGATTGAGGGAGGAGTGCAGGGGGAGAAAAGGGGAATGCGAAAATCACTTCCCAAATTCTTAGGGAGGATGGATTTTCTGCAGATACTTTCTACGTTAGAAAATAACTTTATGAATTTCATTCATGTTTTTATAAGAGCTTAGTCTTCGATACCTTTGTGAACTGTTGATTATCATATTACAGTTGTAATGTCGTGGTTGCTTGCTGCAGGAATTGGGTTTAAAAGTGTGTTTCTTGTAAGTTCACAACCTCACATATTCAGCAATGGATATCGAATCAAATTCAGGGAAGAACCGAACAAAGATTGCAGTATTGGATACATTGTTCCTGAATGGGTTAGTGGGGAGCCTACTCTTTCGAGCATACTTGATGTATATGGTGCCACCAAGGTCGTGCCGGCAACTACAATTGTCCTTCCTTTAAAGCCTGAGAAGGTTGAAACAGTGAGGGCACAACTATCGGGTTTGCATCCTGAGCTTCTTCTTTTCTTATCCAAGGTAAACCGGGTATATGTACGTGGGTGTGATCCCAAAGCAGCCAATGGTGTCTCCAAAATTTCTATATGCACCGGGACTGATCTTATGAATGTCCGTGATAAGACTGCCAATGCACGTGTTGTTGAACTTTCGGTTAAAGAAAAAATGGGTGCCAGTGAGGAGAAGTGCAAGTATTACTTATGGAGACAGGCATTTCCAGTAAAACCTGCTAATAGAGTTAATACTAGGATGAATGTCGAGGAATGGGTGATCACTCTTGCTTTCCCATTTGGAAACAGACTGAGAAGAGATACTTCTTTTGTCGGTGTATTTGCTTTCCTGCCTACGGCCATGGTTACAAGCTTTCCCTTTGTAATTCAAGCTGACTTCATCCTTGCTTATTAAAGAGAATCAATACTTTTGGATAATGTATGGAATCTGGGAATTCTTGAATGTGTTCCATCGGCGTTTGTTAATGCTTTTGAGTCTTGTGTGAAAGAGCTCTCCCTGTTTCCTTCAGTGGGTCAGGCATTTCAGTTCATACCAACTCAAGCATCACCAATTCCGGTGTTTAATAAATTAACAGAGTCCATCAAAACTAGACTGCAAGGTCTCCAGATAGTACCCTGTGAAATATTTTCTAGCGAGAGGTTGTTTTTCCAGCCTAAAGAAGCAGTTAGAATCCTACATACATTCAGAGACCTCTTAGTTCGCATTAGAAGCAAAGGGGTTGTTGTAAGTGGTTTATCTTCTTTGATGAAAGTCTCACATTCATCTCTGAACTTTCAAGAAACCAGTGGAGTTATGGACTATCTAGGTGTAGTATATGCTTCATATAATTGGTATGCACAATGCATTCAATCCTGCAATATTGTGTCGCAAGTATCTGATGATGTCTACATTAAACTGCTTGGTTTTATTGCTAATACTTGTAAGGATACATCGTCCATACAATTGTTAGGTACCATGCCTCTTCTTAAATACATCAATCGTGAAGGGAATATGGAATTGCGTACAATTCCTAATACAACGCCCAAGATTGTATATAGTGTGGAGCTGGAGATTCACACATGGCTGAGTAAGTGCAATATGGAGTTTGGATGTCTCGGTAATTTTTATTTCTTGCCCAATAGCACTCGGGAAGCACTTTTAACTCACAAAAGAAGTTCATTTCTCCTCGAATGGCTTTCCAGTAATGCAGGTTTAAGTCCTTGTTCGGCAACAGAATTTGTTTCCTGGCTTTATCCTTATGTATCAAATAAGGAACCACTTCTTCCAGTCACCTTGGTCCATTTCCTTTATCATGCCCATATGAAAAACATCATTGATGATTCTCAATTGTATTCCTTTCTCACGGTGATCCCACTTATTGATGGGACTAACCAAGTCAGAATGCAAAGAACTGCAACTCTTGTCTCGGCATCAAGGAGCAAATGGGTGAAGTTGTTGGGACCTCTAAATCCATTCGTGGGACAATATTACATTGATATAGGAGATGTTTATGCTAAAAGTAGTATGCTTCTTGGAGAATTTGTGCCTCAGGATGAGCTTCTTCACTTTGTTGTTAAGTTCAGTAAAGCTGTGGACATTCCTGAGTTATGTCCTCCAGATGTGGTGTTACAGATAGCATCTCATGAACTATCAAGTGAGAAAGCATTTCTGTTGCTCGACTGGATCAGATTACTTTGAACCAAGGGTTCTTTACCTACAAGATTCCTTGAAAGCATTCGAAATGGAAAATGGATGAAGACATACTTGGGTTATTGTACTCCAAGACAGGCCATTCTTACAAACGAAACAGGGGAAGGTATTTTTGATATGATGAAGCATATTCTGGAGGATATCTCGATTTTGGACCTGGAATTTTACAGTCATCGAATCATGCTTTATCAAGATGAATTGGAATTCCTTGGTGTGGGGATTAGATCAGTAGATGTGCAGAGATTGGTTACCAATCGCTTTATATCTCTTGCTTCTCCTGGAATGAGCAAAGAGTATACATTTTCTTTGCTGACTTTCATTACCTTCTCTAAAGCGAGGGGTATGCTTGATATGAATTGGTTGGCTGTTATGAAGGAGAAGAAGTGGCTGAAGACTCATAAGGGCTATAATGCTCCTGAGGTATCTATCATCTTGCCTTCTGAGATAGACACTCAATCCCGCTTGAAAGTAACAGATCTTCCTATTGTTGACGATATGGGGTTCTTTGTTGAGTACTCTTGAGGTTCCTGTAATAGATGAATTGTATTACAGGAATGAAATTAGGCATTTTGTTGATGAATTGAACGTAATGGGAGTGGGAGTTGATACTGCCAGAGCAACTGACTTGGTAGCTACTCAGTTTAATTCTCTCTTGCATTCTTCTAGCTGCTTGGCTCCTGAGAAAGTGATGGCACTGTTAGGTTGCATTCGAGAACTGAGTCAAACAATGCCTTTACCATGTCCTGAACTGACTTGGTTGTCGTCTGAGCAGTGGTTGAAGACACGACATGGTTATAGAAGTCCTAGCGAATCAATTATTTTCAGCTCAAAATGGGGGTCAATCTCGTGGTTTGTTGATCTTCCTATCATCGATGATACAAACTATGGCATCGGAATATATAAGTTCAGGGATGAACTTCAGAAGTTATGTGTCATCACAGATTTTGAAGGGGGAGCTCTGTTTGTAGTTAAAGGTCTCCGTATCCCCTTCGAAGCTGAACTAGTTGGTGCAGATGGTATGGTATCATTGCTAGAATGCATCAAGTCTCTGATGTCAAGGCCTCCTGATGAGCTTTTACTGACTGACTTTCTCAACAACATTGCAAAAAGCAGGTGTTTGAAGACTGGGGATGGTTACAAAACTCCGGAAGAGTGCATTCTGTTTGATCCAGCTTGGGAGAGTATTTTGAAGAGGTCCGATGCACCAAAAATTACAATTGATGAAAAGTTTTACGGAACTGATATTTTGGCATACAAGGATCAGTTAAGAGGTATTGGTGCGAATGTGGATCCCTTAGGCGTTTGTTCTCTCATTTCGGGGCTTCTAGTTTCACTCACAGATACATCTTCAATTACAAGAATTTATAGCTTTCTCAGTAAGTTCCACTGGCACCCGGAAGCAGTGAGCAATTTGCAGGTGTGGATACCTAATCCAAATGGTACAGGTGTATGGGTTAATTCTCAGTATTGCGTACTTTATGATAGGAACGACCGGTTTGGCTCCTGCTTGTTTTGTCTTGAAAACGTTTACAGAAAAGAGATCCTACCCATTTTTTCTTCAGCCTTTGGAGTGGCTGAAAATCCATCAACCAAAGATTACTTGCAGCTATGGAACAGCTGGGCCTTGAGGGGTAATGGGCAAGTGACTATGGAAGAATGCAGCTTCTTTTGGGAATATGTTTTCGATAACTGGAATCCTGAATTGGAGGATACTCTAAAGGGGAGCTTGACCAAATTACCTGCTACAATGTCCGTGGCCGAGGAAATATTTCTGATCAGCACAGGGGAAGTTTTCATTGGTGATGACTTGCAACTCAAGAAAAATTTCTCTAGTTTTGATAAGGCTCCTCTGTTTGTGTGGTTTCCGCATAGCAACTGCTTGTCATCAGTTCCTCCGATAAGACTTCATGAGTTTTATGAGTCACTCGGAGTTAGAAAGCTTTCTGAATCTGTTGAGTGCAACGTGAGTCATACAATATCATTGGAGCACTGGGAGAAGGTTGATCCAAGCGAGAGGTTAATAAGGAGGGGTTTAATGAAGATTATTCTGGGTTTTCTTGCTCGTCCTCATGTAAACATGCCCTTGAAGAGGAGACACGAGGCTGCAAAATCTATACTTGAACTGTCAGTGTACAAAGGTGACAAGCCGATTCAAGTCTGCTATCGGCTAATGCAATCTGCAGGTACAGTAGTGGAAGTAGAGAAACTAAAGCTGGTTCTTTGGGAGAAAAATTCGCAGCGCTTGCTCATTAAAAAATCAGCCTATGAAAGCGGAAAAACTGATATAGAATTTGTCACTTGTTTTGCTGATGAATTGGCGCAAGGGATGTTAGCACAGACAACACACACTGCTGCAGATACCTTGAGCAGGATTATCCAAATGGGATTCATGTTTGATTTCAATGAGAATGATGTGGACTTTTTGCTGATGGAAGAAAATTTAGAGTTATTTATTGAAGATGCACTGTTTCTTGATGCTGCATTCCTCCCGTCAGGAGGAGGTACTGGTCGTGTTTATCTAAAGCATTCGTGTAAGAAGTCAGAGCTATTAGAACCTCTCACGCCGATGGAGCCATGCAAGAAGCAGCGTCAGGGATGAAGGGGCAATGATCCTAATCACCAGGTGAGTTTAACTTGGACACTAAGCCAGAGCAATTGTGTGCTTGTGCAAGAGTTTGATCTGGACATGCCTCTACTTTGTTATTTCTGTTTGTTACTTTGGACTGAAAACTTGTTAATTTTCATGTTGCAGCAGATATGTATCAAGGAGGAGTGTCAAAGAACTGCACTGGATTCTCAGGAGCTGCAAGATGCATATGTGGGAGTTGTTCAATTTATGCTCTATTTTTTGGAACTTTTGGTCCAATTATTAAATAGTTATTTATTTATTTTGTAAAGGTATTTTTGAATGCCTAAAAACTTGTCTTATCAATGGTAAACTGGATTCGAACTCCCTTTTAATCCTTTTTTCTTTCGACTGTTGAATTGAATGAATGAATCAAATGAGAATGAAGGTGAGGTGTGGAGAAAGAAAAAAACGAGAGTATGAAAATCGTGTACATTTTTGTCCGGACCAGAAAGTTGGTCTTCGACTGTGAGGCACAAAATGCTTTTGTATGTACCAAAACAAATTCAACATCTCCGGTTAAAAAACAAGAAAATAACCAACCAATTCAAGTACGTTATCGACGGTGTTTCTTGCTGGGAAACATCACGGAAAAAATAAGGCTCAAAATGTACAGACGATGTTTCTTGCCGGAAAGCGTTCGTGTGTACGCAAGCAAGCAACCAATTCAAGTATGTTATCGACTAGTGCCGTCTGCGAGTACGAAGTAGAAAAGTTAAAGCTTGTTCTTGGGGAGAAGAATTTCTCACTTCTTTCGCTGAAGAACTCGTACAGGGAAAACCTACTGCAGTAGATACATTGAGTAATATTATCCAAGTTGGATTTTTTGCTGATGAAGCACAACTTGGAGCTGTTAGTGGCGGATGTGCAGTTTCTTGATAACGCATTCCCTGCGACCGGAACACCTGCTGTTGGTATTTGATACAAAAGGCGTGCAGGTGAGAAGTCGGAGCAGTTAGGCCCTTCCACACCAATGCCTTCAAGCAAGAAACCCACGGCAGTGAAACGGAGCGGACGTCCTTGCTCTTTTTGTTCAGACCTTGAAGTGACAGGATTCAGGATCTTGAAGTTTTATTTTGATGCATTTTGGTATTGTATATATGATGGTCCTACATGAGACTACATTTGAAGTCCTAGCAAGAAATTTCATTCCAATGGGCTGGAAAATGTGACTAAATCCGCCACTTAGCCTGACAACTTCCTTCCTTAAGTAATAAAAAATTAGGCTACATCCAGCAAAAAAAAAAACTGTGGATCTCACGAGAAAAGTAACAACTCATGTGAGCCATATTCTACCACTCTTCCCCACTTGCGAATACACTTATACTCACATTTTATTTATTTTTTAATTCTTTTTGTTTTTACGTATTTTTATTCCAAATGTCCTCCTCCATTTTGTTTGTATGTTTAATGTCACATCCCGACCCGACCCCCATCACATCCCTAGCTGGTTCAACTCCGCTGTAGTACGATATTGTTCGCTTTGGGCTCCGATCACGTCCTCAAGGTTTTGTTTCTGGGAACTCACACGAGAACTTCCCAGTGGGTCACCCATCATGGGATTACTTTCGCGCGAACTCGCTTAACTTCGAAATTCTGATGGAGCCCGAAGCTAGTAAGCTCCCAAAAAGCCTTGTGCTAGATAGAGATGAAAATATACATATAAGGTTTACATGATCCACTCCCCTGGACGATGTTGGATGTTACATCTTAGGTTCGAATCTCATGGATGACAAATTCGATACCCAATTAGACTGCCCATTATGTGACTTTACCGAACTCTTTCTCCATTTAGTGTAAAAATATCTACGTATAAAAAAGAATAATTAAAAAAAATTAAAAAAAAAAAAGAACAAGACTATTTCCACCTCTTTTTCGGCCTCATAGAAAGCCCACCATTCTCTAAATGTGTGTTTTGCTGTTTCAGACTTAAAAAAAAGATGCCAAAAGTTCATTTGGGCACTCTCAATGTCTGAACAATTTTGCATGCAAGATACTTGCAAATGGGGGAGTTGATAAGTCTTGTCAAAAATCTTGCATGCAGATACTTGCATCATTACATGCATAAACCTTCTCTTAATTAAATTCTTCTAACACTTTCTCCCAGGCAAATCCCATCACTGCCATCGCAGGGTTGCAGCTGCCCTGCATGCTGAAAATTGAAGACTACTCTTTTCTATTTCTCGCTCAAAGCTTCAGAGAAGGAAAACCAAGCTCCCCATTGCTCTACTGGAGCGACTTCTTAGCAGGTATGCTCTCTCTCTCTCTCTCTCTCTCTCTCTCTCTCTCTCTCTCCTGAGCTTTTGACTGATCGTTTTCATATTTTATATGTTAACTGGGTTTCTGCAGAATGGGAAGACACACAGATGAAGAAGCTATAGCTTCTGCTAAACGTCACATAAAAGAAATTAGGACCAAAAAGTACTCAATAGGAAGGAAAGAAGCAAACCCTTTAACTCTTGACCTTCACCATGCGGTCACCAGCCTATCTGCCGAGCTTTACCAGAAAGATATCCATTTTCTCATGGAGCTCATACAGGTATCTAATTTCTTGCTGTGTTTTTCAAAAAATTCGTGAAAAAGTTTCAATCTTTTCCTTACCAACGTCAATGAAACTCGAAATAATTTGTGGGTTTTTTTTTGTGAAATTTTGTTTGCTGGGTTTGTTTCTTCGTTGATTTTTATTCGAAAATCAAAACAATTTCTGGGTCTTTTGCTCTGTCTCTGAAAAAAGGTGAAAAGGTTTCAATTTTTCGATACTAGCATCAATGGAACTTGAAAACAAATTGTGGGTTTGTTCTTTTGGTGGATTTTTTTAATTGTGGGTTTTTGATTTGCAGAACGCGGAAGACAATGAATACGAAGAAGGGGTTGAACCAACGCTGGAATTTGTGATGACAAAGAAGGACATAACTGGGAGTGGAGCTCCGGCTACTCTACTGGTTTTTAATAATGAGGTTGGATTTTCCAGGAAGAATATGGACTCCATCTGCAGTGTTGGATGTTCTACAAAGAAGGGGAAGAGACAGCAGGGCTTTATTGGAGAAAAAGGTAAATTAAAAGGTTATATATAAACTTATTGAACTTGGAACTCCTATCCCTAATAGCCTTCCCTTCCCATTAGGATGTGTTTTACGGAGAATGCAACTAAGAATTAAGTAGTTAAGCGCGCTCTCAGTTGATAACCATTTCGTACCATCATATCTTAAGCACAAAAAAGCGAAAACGAAGGGCGAAATGGTTATTAAACTAGCACCAAGGGTTTGAGCTTTGCGGTTTTTTGCTTTTCCATGAACCTGATGTTGAATATATTTTTTGTGATTAACTTTGCTTTCAATCAAATCTGCTGTTGGAATTATATTTCATCCCATTAAATGTCTCTGCACCACCTTTTTTTTTTTTGAGATCCTGTATTGGTGTTCCTTTTAGCAAGTTGTTTTTGTATGTTCTGCTTTAGGAACTTTTTTGGCATTTCTTAGGCTAACTTGGCCTTGGATTTTATGCCTTCTTCGTTTCCGGCTGAATAGTTGGGCTCTGTGAAATTCGCATCACTAGGTGATTACTTTTGGCAAGTTTTTATTTAATTCATTTTTTTTCTCTACTATTACTTTGGATACACGATTGTTTTGAATGCATAATAGTAGTGTTCCCAGTATATTCAACTCATTTTACTTTTTTGAGTTGCATGCATTCTGTATAAGAATCCAGTTACCTTTTGAACTATAAATTATCAACTTGAACTTACAATACCAATTTTTTCTTGCAGGAATTGGATTTAAGAGCGTGTTTCTTGTGAGTTCACAGCCATGGATATTTAGCAACGGGTATTGTGTCAGATTCACGGAAGAATCAAACCAATATTGTGGTATTGGGTATGTTGTTCCTGAATTTGTTACTCGATTTGTCAAGAATATGCAATGCGTACGGGTCAAACAAGATCTTGCCCACAACTATATTTGTCCTTCCTCCAAAGCCTGACAAGGTTGAAGCAGTGAGAGCTCAACTGTCTGATCTGCACCCCGAGATTCTCCTGTTCTTATCCAAGATAAAACGATTATATGTACGTGGGTTTGATTCTGGAAAGGCTGATGATGTCTCCACAATTTCGATATTTAGTGAGACAGAACATATGGACTTGGGTGATGAAAGAGCCAATTCTCGTGTTGTTCAGCTTTCTGTTAAAGAAACAGAGTGTGAAACTGAGGATTTGTGTAAGTATTACTTGTGGAGAGAGTCGTTTCCAGTAAAACCTGGAAATAGAGTTAGTGTAAGGATGGATGTGGAGGAATGGGTTATTACCCTTGCTTTCCCATTTGGAGAAAGGCTGAGAAGGGGAACGTCGTCTGTTGGTATATTTGCTTTCCTGCCAACAGCAATGGTTACAAATTTCCCCTTTGTGATTCAAGCTGACTTCATCCTTTCTTCCTCACGAGAATCTATAGTGTTGGATAACCTATGGAACTTGGGAATTCTTGAATGCGTACCATCAGCGTTTGTGAATGCTTTTCAGTCTTATGTGAAAGATCTTTCCCTCTTTACTTAAGTGGATCAGGCATTTCAGTTTTTACCTGCTTAAGTTTCACCTATTCCTGCATTTGACAACTTAAGAGAGTCCATCAGAACCAGGTTGCGATGTTTACCGATAGTGCCTTGCGAAATGATTTCCAGTGAGAGGTTTTCATTCAAGTGCCCTCAAAATTCAGTTCGTGTCCTGCCAAAATTTAGGGACATTGTTGTTCGAATTCGGAGTCAAGGGGCTGTTTTATGCGAGTTGTCTTCGTTTCTCATGCACTCATCACTTGACCTTGACAAATACAATGAAGTTCTGGACTTTCTACGTGTGGAATCTGCTGGTGGTAGCTGGTATGGAAAATATATCAAGTCCTGCAATCTTGTGCTTTTATCCGATGAGGTCTACATTGACATACTTGATTTTATTGCTGACAACAAGAAGTTCTCAAAGTCTATTAAGACCATACCTCTGCTTAAGTACATCAACCGGGAAGGAAATATGGAATTATGTACTGTTGCCAAAGGTACAGTAGAGGCTCCCCAGCTTCGATATGCTACGAAGCTGGAGCTTCACACATGGCTGAGTAAGTGCAATATGGAGTTTGGATGTCCTGATAATGTGTATTTCTTGCCCAGTAGCACTCAGAAAGCTCTCGTAAATCACTGTATCAAAATGAAAAAGCCAAACCTCACTGGAAGTTCATCTCTCAGCATTTGGCTTCACCGCCATGCGGGAGTGAAATCTTGTTCAGCATATGATTATGCTATCTTGCTTAGCAATCATGTATTCGAGAAGGAACAAAATCTGGCATTTCCACTGGCCATTTTCCTACATCATTCCCACAAGAAATGCTTCCTTACTGATTATAACTTATCTGATCTTGGTTCATGGATTCCAATTATCGATGGAGCAGGCCATGTCAGTAGACAAAGAACTGAAACTCTTGTCCCTGCGTCGGGTAGCAAATGGTTGAAGTTGTTTGGTCCTCAAAATCCATTTGTGGAACAGAAGTTTGTTGATATAGGTGATGTTTATGCTAAAAGTAGTATGTTTCTTGGAGAATGTACGCCTGAGAAAGAGCTACTTGGTTTTGTTGTCAAGATAAGTAAAGCTGTGGACTTACCAGAGTTGTGTCCTCCAGACGCCGTGTTACAGTTAGCATCTCATGAGCTGTCAAGTGAGCAGGCCTTTTTGCTGCTTGATTGGATCAGATTTCATCGTACAAAGGGTTCATCTTTACCTACAAAATTCATTGAAAGCATTCAGAATGGAAAATGGATGAAGACGTACTCAGGCTATAAATCTCCAAGGCAGGCCATTCTTCCAGATGAAACAGGAAAAGATATTTTTGGTATGATGAATCATGTTTTGAATGATATCTTCATTTTAGACCTGGGGTTTTATATGAATCGGATCTTTCTGTATCAAGATGAATTGAAATTTCTTGGTGTAGCTCTTGGTTCATATGATGTGGGGAGGCTGCTTACTAATTGCTTTGCATCTCTTGCTTCTCCTGGAATGAGCAAGGAGTGCGCATATTCTTTACTGACTTTCATTAATTTCTCTAGAGGGAGGAGTGTGGTTGATGACGATTGGTTGGCTGTTATGAAGGGGAAGAAGTGGCTGAAGACTCATCGAGGTTATAGTTCTCCTGGGAGTTCTATCCTCTTGCAATCTGAGATAGAAGCTGAAATCTGTCTAAAACTTACAAATCTTCCTATAGTTGATGAAGCATTCTATGGAAGCAGATTAGGTTCTTTCTTACTGGAACTAAGGTTACTTGGAGTTACATATGGCGTAGATGAGGTGCAAATATTAGTTGCAAAGAAAGTGACTTTACCTTCAAATTTGTCAACCATGACTGGTGGTTGTGGTTTGTTTGTTCTTAAATGTATCAGATGCTTGGGATCCGAAGCTTCTGGCTTGATTAAGCAAATTCAATGTCAACCTTGGATAAAGACAACTGTGGGTTTTAAATGCCCTTCGGAAACTGTTCTTCCTGATCCTAGATGGGGTTGTTTGTTCAGTATCCTTCAGGTCCCTGCGATTGATGTATTGTATTATGGGAATGCAATTCGGAACTTCGATAAGGAATTGAATGCAATGGGAGTGGTTGTTGATTCCCCTGGAACGATTAAGATGTTTGCTGATCAGTTTAATTCCCTACTATCTTCTTCTAGCTTGGCTGCCGCTAATGTGATGTCGTTGTTAGGTTGCATTAGAGAACTGAGGCAAACTATGCTGTTACAGTGCTCTGAACTGGAGTGGTTGTTGTGTGAGAAGTGGTTGAAAACACGGCATGGTTACAAGACTCCTGCTGAATCAATTATTTTCAACTCTAAATGGGGATCAATCTCTTCGTTTATTGACCTTCCTTTGATTGATGATGTCTATTATGGTATTGGCATATATAAGTTCAAGGACGAACTCCAGATGTTGGGTGTCATCTCGGATTTTGAACAAGGAGCTCCATTAGTTGCCAAAGGTCTCCACAGTCCTATTGATGCTGAACTACTTACCACAGATGGTATTCTGTCACTATTAGAATGCATCAAGTATCTGATGTTATTTTCTCTTGATGACCCTCAACTGGGTGAATTTCTCATGACTGTTGGGAAAAGCCAGTGGTTGAAGACCATGAACGGTTACAATACTCCAGAAGACTGTATTCTGTTTGATCGAAGCTGGGAAAGTATTCTGAACAGGTCAGATGGGCCAATCATTGATGAAACTTTTTATGGAACTAACATTTCTGTTTACAAGGATCAGTTAGAGTTTATTGGCGTGAAGGTTGATCTGTTGGATGTTTGTGATCTTCTTTCTGGGAATGTTTTGTCACTGACTGACACAGCTGCAATTACAAGGGTTTATAGCTTCCTCAACAAGTTCCGTTGGAGGCCAAAAGTTATAGATAAATGCAACTCTCAGTTGTGGATACCTAATCCGAAGAGCACAGGTTTATGGGCTAAATCTCAGGATTGTGTGCTCCATGACACGAAAAATCTCTTCAGCTCCTGTTTGTTTTCTCTTGACAAGTTTTACAATAAAGAGCTCCTCCCCCTTTTTTCATCAGCCTATGGAGTTGCACTAAATCCATCCTTCAGCCATTACTTACAGCTATGGAGCACGTGGGCGTTGAGGGGTAACTCCCAAGTGACTGTTGTAGAATGTAGCTCTTTCTGGGAATACGTTGCAGCCAACTGGAATCAACAATTACGAGATACTCTCAAGCAAAAATTGACCAAAGTACCTGCCACAATGTCCGGGTTGGAGAAAATACATCTTATCCGCAGAGAGGAAGTATTCATTGCTGATGACTTGCGACTCAAGAAAATTTTCTCGGGCTGTGATAAGGTTCCTCTGTTTGTTTGGTTTCCCAAGAGTTACAGCTTGTCTTATATTTACCCTGGAAGACCACAAGCAATCTATGAATCGCTTGGAGTTAGAAAGATTTCTGATTCAGTTAAGTGCAAAGTGAACGGCGTTGAGTCGTTAGAGCATTGGGAAAAGATTGATGCGAGAAATGGATTGATCGGGAGGGGTTTAGTCAAGATTATTCTGGCTTTTCTTGCTGGTCCTGAGGTAAATATGTCACTATATAACAGACACGAGGCTGCAAATTCGGTAATTATGCTATCAGTGTACAAGAGTGACAAACCAATTCAAGTCTGCTATCGACTAATGCCATCTGCAGCTACAACCGTGGAAGTGAAAAAACAAAAGCTGGTTCTTTGGGAGAAGGATTCACAGCGGCTGCTCATTGATAAATCAGGTTACGAAGGACGGAGAAACGATCTAGAGTTTGTTACTTCTTTTGCTATCGAACTCGTGCAAGAACTGTTGGCAGCAGCAAAACCTACTGCAGCAGATAAACTGAGCAAGCTTATCCAAATGGGATTTATGTTTGATTTTAGCGAGGGTGAAGTGGATTTTCTGCTGATGAATGAAAACTTGGAGTTATTTGTGGAGGATGAGCAGTTTCTTCATGCTGCATTCGACACTTCCGGAGAACTTGGTCGGGTTTATGAAAAGCGTTCAGGTACCAAGTTAGAGCAATTAGGCCCTTCCACGTCCATGCCTTTATGCAAGAAACAGCGTCAGTGAAAAGGAGGGAATCGAGTTAGAGCGATCATGGCCTGAATTATGACCAGGATTCGGGACCATGAGGTTTTATTTTGTTGTATTTTGGTTTAATCCTCAATGTATATATGAATCTGAAGAGCCAGAGATGCATGATCTTTTGGAATGCTTTGTACTGTAAAATGAATACATCTGAGCAGCTTGGGCCTGTTTTGTACTGCTCCTCTTGTATATTGTGTCTTCTCTGTTGCTAAAATTTCACTTTTCGTTCCTTTGTTTTTTTTTTTTTTTAAGGAGACCAGCTAGTGACTTCGTCACGGCAGTCCAACCAGGGCCGAGACATCCTCTGTTGTTAATTAGGTGGTAGTTTTAGTACTCATGATCAAGTATGAAAACATGGTAACCTGAAGAAGTAGAGAAATCTTAGTTGAATGAATTTTCAACTAGGAACACAACATAAAAACGAGGTTTATGAAAGAATCGAGCCCGTTAGTTTACGAATTACTTACAACCCGTTTGATAATAATTTTGGTTTTAATTTTTAGTTTTGTGTTAGTGACATGGAAAAAATATATGGGAGAAACAAGGGAGTAGGGCTCTATTTTATTTATAATTAAAATTAGGGGTGAGCATTCGGTGGGTTGGTTGGTTTGACATTGTTGAAACCCATTTCAACCCAACAAAAATAGACAAATCAACCCACCTAAACTATTCTAATGCGGGTTCAACATGCTGGGTTATGTACTTTTTTTTATTGTGCCTAAAATGGGTATGCGTGACAAATAAAATAATCCAAAATACATGTAATATTAAACTTAAATCTTGTGAAATTGGTGTCGTAGAATCACTATTTTTTACTTAATATTTAAATTTATCATTTAACTAAAGTATAAATTAATAAGTGTGTTTTAATAACTATTAAACTTTATGTATATATGTATGTAATACACATGTCTGTTTAAGAATTGTTGATATTCGGGTGGGTCGGTTTCAATCGGGTTAATAATACTTCAACCCAACCCGCCTATTGAGGTACCCAAAAATAAAATTTTAAAGATTACAACCCAACGAATTTCAGTTACGACTGTCGGGTTGGTTAGTAAACCCATTAAAGTGCCCGCCCCTAATTAAAATGGGATAAGATCAAAGGACAAACATTTTTACACTTCTTTGTAATCTTTAGATTTTATAACATTTAACGGTCTTGATTAAGAGAGATGTGGAAACTCTAAACATAAATGACTAGGATAAGAATGTGGATTATAACTAACAATAAATAAAAATTAAAACTAAGAAAAGAATAAAAACTGAGAGGAATTAAAAAAAATATAAAAGAAAAAACCCTGAGGAAGCATGACCATCTTAATTGCTTCATCCAACCGCAACACCTCGATTTTTTTATCACTCACGCTGTCAAACTCAGCGCTGTTAAAGCAGCCTAGCAATTTCAGGTTCAAGAAGAATGTTTTGAGATTGCAAATAAGGGGAAAATGGCATGCTGTGTTTGCATCAAACTATAACCCTAGTTTCGGATGAAAATTCGATCAAAGATAAATCATGTGGGGCTGAAACCAATGATGCTGTCAAATGCTTTCCTATGCTAGTGCTAACCATTTCTAGTCCCTTTTCTTATGTTTTGGGTTCTTTAATCAATTCTAATGTGGTTGATTAGGGTTTAAGGTCTGATTTTTTTTACCAAATCAAATGGTAGCTTAATAAATAATATGGTTATGGAATTTTGTATTAATCGAAACAAAGAAGCATGTACTGGAATTTGTTGAAATTTTATCTCCGCCTCCTTCTCGCGTTCTTGCACAGTTCCTCGCTTGGTTTCATGTCAAATTGATATTTTTTTTTCTTCCAGTTTTATTGTATTAGTTGCTTCTTATTCATTAATATTATTGTTTTTTTATTAGTTATAATCCACATCATCATACAAGTCTTAATAGTCTCTACATCACTATTAATCAAGATCGTAAGATATTATAAAACCTAATGGCTAAAAACAAATGTAAAAATATTTTTCCCTTGATCTTATCCCAATTAAAATATATAACATATAAGATATACAAATAAAAATGCAAAATTATAAATTTAGATGTTGGGTTTATTTTTAACGATCTTTAAATTTTAACGGACCAAAGTAGATTTCCTCCTAATTTTAATCAGATAACAACTTACATGATACGAACAAATAGATAGTCAAATCTATTTTGATAAGCCACTTTAACAAAAAACTCGTTCCAATGACGTAAGCTGCGGCCAATATTAATAGGATGCATATAATTTTATATTTAAAATAAAAAATTATATATATTTCGGTTAGGTTCGGTCTTACCAAACAAACCTGTAACATCCTACATCGTCCAGGGGAGTGGATCATGTAAGCCTGGGGAGTGGATCATGTAAGCCTTATATGTATATTCACATCTCTACCTAGCACGAGACCTTTTGAGAGCTCATTGGTTTCGGGTTCCATTGGAACTCTGAGGTTAAGCGAGTTCGCGCGAGAACAATCTCAGGATGTGTGACGCATTGGGAAGTTCTCGTGTGAGTTCCCAAAAACAATATTGCATGCTGATTCCGTACCTAAATTTTCGGTATCAGTTTGGTTTTGGGTACAAATTTTTCAGTGTTCTGGGTTCGATATTTTTTTCGGCTCAATTTCGGTACAGCTTCGGTCAGTTTCGATCTTTACCAGAAAGACATCCATTTGTCATGGAGCTCATACATGTATTTAGATGTTTGCTGTGTTTTTCAAATAATTAGTGAAAAAGTTCCAATCTTTTCCTTACCAGCGTCAATGAAACTCGAAATAATTTGTGGGTTTCTTTCTTCGTTGATTCTTATTTGTGGGGTTTCTATTTGAAAATCAAAACAATTTTTGGGTCTTTTGCTTTGTCTCTGAAAAAAAAAAGTGAAACTTTGCATCAAATTAAAATATACATACTTTTATGTTCTTGTCAAAAACAGAGAAAAGATGATAAAGCCTTGAGCTTTAAAGAATATAATTTAAATGAGAACCACAAGATTGTCAAGAAAATAATACCATCTTAATATAGAGAATTGTTATTGGTATTAAAAAAAAAATTTTGTGCGTTTCTAATTTTCTACCTTAAAAAAGAAAACTAAACTTGTGAAGAGCGTACAATAAGATTTTAATATATTGATCGACTTAAAAAACATGTAGGTCCGTTCAAGATTGAAAATATGCGGAAGATAGTGATTTTTTCACATTCTACATTTATTTCTTTGTTTTAAATTTTATTTATTTATTCAGTTCTAAGACCGGAAAAAGAAAAATGAATGCATGAAGAGAAAAATGGCGAAAATATTTCCCTAATAAGTAAATAGTTGGAGGAAATTAATATATAGACTTGATGTGTAGAATCCGATGATGAGAGATACCGCTTCGTTGCCATGTTGCATGGCTGCGGGTCTGTCACGCACTAACATAACATTACATAACAAAACCGGCTGCGGGTCTGTCACGCACTAACATAACATTACATAACAAAACCGGCAGAGAAGAGAGAGAGAGAGAGAGAGAGAGAGAGAGAGAGAGAGAGAAGGAAAAAGAGAGAGCTGACTACTAAGCCAAAGAAGAAAGGTCAAGAAAATGACGCCAGAGATTTGACACTAGCCACCAACTCTCATTATACATTGAATTTGATGTTTGCTTTGGCCTCCAATTACACTGGCAATTAACCACCATTGCAGTTCTTCTCCTTTCTAACATAATTAGGGGATTATGTTTTTTTGTTAATTTATATCTTTTGTAGTTTTTATGAGGATATAATATCCAAGATCTAAGGATTTTTTTTTTTTTTTTTTGTATTTTTATTCTTGTGGATCTAGGTAAATTTGTAATTTTTTTAGTTAATATTGTTTTATTTTTGCATGTCATGTCAGTTAGAGTTGAAGTGTTTACTTGTATAATTTTGAATTCCTATCCTTGCAATTTAAATTAATTTAAGGTGAAATATCACTTGTATATATAGTCTTATTTCTAGTTTTTAGTTAATAGTGTATCTTGTTTAATTTCTTATAATTGTTCTCTTATGGAGAAGAATAGAGCATTTTGAAATTTGCCCTAAATTTCATTTTTAACAATTTTTGCCGTGAAATTTATTTTACATTTGAATTCACTTTTGAGAAAGTATGAATAGCATTTCTCAGGTGATTTTGCCATATATTATCAGTTGACTTGGAATTTGTATGTCTAATTATACTTTATTTTTGTTGGAGAGTATGTCATTAAAATTACAGTCTGGAAAGTTTATCCCCATTTAATTTGACTGGCTTAAAAAGTGTTATTGTCAAAATAACAACAAATGGAAAATCATTAGCATACATTTTGCAGTCAAATAATACATAATTTCACCAAACTTGTTTAATAGTCTAAACCCTAATAACATTAATTAGTGACTGTTTGAGAAGGGTAAGTTGGTAACAAATCCCTTTCTAAGGAGGGAGACTACAACTCACAAAAGCATATTAAAGAAAGGATAATCATGCTTCATGCGCATCATAGAAAATTAGAAATGTAATATTATCGTATTACCAGTTTGATTTGCTATCAAGCAATCACATGAATTATCATGTTCATGCTTCGCTTTTTTTATTCCACCACGGCCCAGGGAGACTACAACTTACAAGAGCATATTAAATAAAGGGATATTTTGGATGTGGTCCATAATCTTTAATATTCTTTGACTAAAACCTTAATGATATTCAAAGTTTGATCAAAGTCCCTTGACTTTGTACACCTCATTATATTACAATTAATATTTATATTTTTATAGTTTTGACATTAATTGTTTGATATTTTATGAGATTTATAATCCTATAAATTTAAAATCCCTCATTATAATACTATCAGAAACGATTACAATAAAAAAAATTAAAACATTTTGATTGAATAAATGGATAAAAACTATGTAAAAATAAGAAATAATAAATGGCAAAAGAATGTATCCATAGTGTTAAAAAATGGTACATTTCACATATAACAAAGTGGTACATTAATAAAGAAGAATGGGTACATTATAAATAAATTAGGGTACAAATAAAAGATTAAAAAATTATGAGTACAAATGAATTTTTAAAAAATATAGGCGCTAAAAGAAATTAATATATGGGTACGAAATAAAACTAAAAAGAAAATATTACAAATTAAAAAAAATGTTGCAAATTAAAAGTGGGTACAAACTAAAA